AAAAAAAAAAAAATAGTGCTTCTCATGATGGGAATTCCAGTCTTGGAGTTGCATGCTCTCAGAGCTAGAAAAGACATTAGTGGTCAGACTTCTTGTCCACTCCACGGTCCTTCTCAGAGTCACAGCTTTACCACCCTTAGGAGGGTCCAGTCAATGCGGAGTTAAACTGAGCCATGAGGGACTTTGATTTTTGCCTTCCCAGGGCTCTGCCCAGGACACCTGGCAGTCATCACCCTGCAAGACTGCCGTAGGCGAGACTGCCCTGGGGATGCCCATTTAACAGAAGCTGTCGCAAGATGGGGCCGCCTGTGGTGTGGGCTGACAGGCAGATGTGTAGGAGAGGCAATGGTTGTGGCTTCAGTGACTGGAAGGAAATATGTTATCTTCTCATTTCTTGCTAAGGCAAGGTCAGGCCTGGGGTCAGGGTCAGGCAGGGTTTTGATGTGGGATGCAGGCCCTGGAGGGATGGAAGCCAGGGGCTTTCTACACAGTCGAGCTCCTCCCGCTCTGCTTCTCTGAGGCTCAGTGCTGGGGGTTTGGTATTTCTAAAGCAGGGTCAGGAGAGGGTTGCTCTGGGGACGGTCCCAGCAAAAGCAGTGGGATGTTCTGTGTACTCAGAACATGAATTGCTGGTGGGGTGGGCGTGTGACGTGGCAGAGAGCAGGTATTAAGCAGTTTTTCCACCTGTCCTCTTTTCCACCTTGTGTCTTTGCCCCACTTTCCTATAGGTTTGCACTTGGACTCAGAGACCGAATCTCTCTTAGGAGAGATAATTTAGGATATCTCTCCTAAAAGGACCATCCAGTACTGGAAAGTCGACTGAGGAGGAGAGGCTCATCTATTGGATGGGATTTTCCCAGATGAGAGGGGCTGGGTGACAGAAAGTGGATGGATCCTGGCTGAGGCCTGCCATCCCTTGGCCTGGGATCCTTGGAAGGACAAGAACAATCCCCGGGTTCTTCCCTCATGACCTGGGGATTGTTCTCTGCATTGCTCCCGACTTAGTGGAAGTGAAAGGTGTCCAGGGCTTAGGGATGCAGAAATGACTCAGAGCTAAGCTACCTAGATTCAAATCCAGCTCCAAAGACGATCACCTTCCCTGCACCTCAGTTTCCACCCCTAACCTGGGCAGTAAAGTATCCACTGGAGGAGGCTGTTGTGAGAGTGAAGTAAGGAGTACACAGAAAAGCCACGGAGCAGGGCCCAGTGCGGAGCAGTAGGCATCTGCTCTGATGATTGTCATTGGAAAAGGACCCAGTTGGGCACTACAATCAGCCGTCCTTGTTTGGCCCCAGGCACCACCGCCTGCCTGGCTGTGGGACCCTGGGCAAGTCACTCAGAGTGCTCTGAACTTTGGCTTTGCTACCTGTAAAGTAGGACTGCTCCCTGCCTCACAGAACTGTTGTGAGGGCTAAATGAAATAATATATGCAGAGCTTAGCAGGCCTGGCATGTAGTAAATACTCCAGAAACATTTTTTTAAGTTCCAGGGTGGTGGTCTACCTGGATGTCACCTCTGATCTCTGAAAACCACAGGGATTGAGGATAGGAAAGCAGTGCTCCTTTCTGCGTCCACCTTGTCCCCACCTCACCTTCCTGCGCACCAGGAAAGGAGCCTGAGGAGTCAATAAGGCCAGAGGGGGAACCCCGCAGAGCGTGGTCAGCTGGGAAGGACTTGGGCAGTAGGAGCAGTGCAGGCAAAGGAGGGCCTGGCTCGGGAGTACGTGGCAGCACGCCTGTCCTCAGCAGACACCTCCCACTGCCTATGCCCCTGGTGGGGACCAGCCCAGCTTAGGTTATCTCGGCTCATTGTCCACTGGTGTTTTCCTCGATGCTCCCTGGGAACTGGTAGTGCTGGAAGGGGTGGCAAGTGGCCTCAGCCGGCTCACAGTTCTGGGACTGGGCCCAGGTTTTGAAAGCCCCTTGAGCTCTCCTCCTTCCCTGCTTAGGCTACTGGAAGACAGAGGTCTCCAAAGAAAAACAAAAGCTGGGGTCTAGACATACCCCATCTGGGGTCTGACTTAAAGGCCTTTGCCAGGGTCACCTCCTGTTGGCATCAGAGAAGGAAACTCTGTGTGTGTGTGTGTGTGTGTGTGTGTCTGTCTCTCTGTCTACGTCTGCAGGTGGACAAGCAGGGCTGGGTGTGAGTGGAAGTGGAAAGGGTACAATTCTGCCCGTCCCTCATTGCTGGCCCCCCCTGCCAGCTGCTCAGATCCAGAGTCTGGGCACCAGAGTCAGCCCTACTGCAGCTGGGGGTGTTGAGCGTGTCTGGGGAAGAGCTAAAAGTGGCAGAAAACATCCTGTTTGAAAGCAATACATTGCTGTATTTAACCCCTGCAGCACCTGCTCCGCCTACACCCAGTCTCCACAGACAGGAGATCTCAGACACCTGCCTTTGAAGCTGTCCCAAGAGGCCAAGGCTGTGGGCTGCCATCCAAGCCCGCCCCATTCCCAGCTCCTGTGCGGCTCCTCCACTGCCCTGCCTCGGGCAGCTGTCTTCCCGCTCTTAGCAGTGGGCCACGTGGCCCAGTTGCTCTGCTTCCTGAGCTGCCTACAATCTGGAGATGGAGGGGGTAGTGTGGGTCTCCCTAAGGAAAAGGCCCTTCTTCCCTCCTGACAGCCTGGGCTGTGAGAGGAGGAGGAGTGCCTAGGCGGGAGGTTGTTTCCTTCTGCCCGGGGCTGGTTGCCGCCACCCCTTCCCACGGCTCCTGCTACTCCCTGCCTCGAGGGAGGGCCATCCTGGCTGCTGCCCAGCCTCCACCCCCACACCCCTGCCAGCGATGACATGGCATGCCTGCCCCCAACAAGCCACTTCTGTTTGCAGTCCCTGATCTGGGGACTAAAGTCCCTGGAAAGATCCTCTTGTGCCCACTTCCTTAGAGACTGGTGAGGCGGTCCGTGCTCCGCTTTAGATAAAAGGTTTCCCCTTCTTCATTTCAGAAGGCTTTGGGTCTGAAGTATCTGTGAGACCTCATAGAAGAGCACCCCTGGGCTCCACTTACATGCCCTGTGCTCCTTCAGGTAGGTGTTTCCTCATCAGCCACAACTTCCCTGGCTTTCTGTTTTCAAGGGGCAAGGGTGGGCCATAAGAAGGTGGTGGGCGGGGGAAGGAAGGGATACCACCCAGGATCTTGCAAGGTGGATCCCGGACCAGCAGAGTTTGCAGCTGAGATGCATGAGTGTGTGGGGTGCGGGTGGGAGTTCAGAGAAAGGCTCAGGAGATGGGACTTGCTGACTCCGGCTATGACCCTGGCTGGGCTCTCCTGTGCGTCTGATATTTCCTATTCAGCCCCATCTCCTCTTTCTCTTTCCTGCCTTCTGTAGTCTCTGCCTGTCATTCCTGGGACTTTCAGCTTTCAAGCCGCAGAGGCTTGGGCATCTTCTCCACATGTGGACTCTGGTCCTGGGCGCTGGCTTCTTGATAGCAGCAAATAACCTTAAGCAGGGTTGGGTCTTCTGTCAGCTCCCCTGAAATGGGCCTCTGGCTGCTCAATCCAGTCTTTCCAGCCTTCACCCCCAGCATGGAGACTTCCTGATGTCAGGGCAGCACCCCACCCCATTGCAGGACTGCCCTGTTGCTGTGCTGTGGTAGTATGTTGTTCCAACTCGCTTGTATCATAGCATGTGATGCTGAACATGTGTTGAACTGATTTAACAGATATTCCTTCCTACCCCCCATTTGATTTCTCTGTTTTCCACGAAATCCACCGGATACTTGGGAGCCTGGATGACCCAGACTCTGTAGCAACACCATGATGACTCGGAGCTGCAGCATCTCAGCTGACCTGGGTTTAAGCCACAAGCATCCTGGATGGTTTCCCCCTATTACTCCACAATGATATTGGGCCTCCGGGATGCTGGCAACATCTTGACTGTGTGCTATGTTCTAAACCCTGCAGGCGTCAGCTTGGACTTGGGATGGTCTTTCGGGACAATGTTGATAGACCCACAAGCACTTTTCTATTTCTAATTGTTTTTAAATTACGAAATGTTTATATATTCAGAAGGGCATGCAAACACAGATGTACAAAACATAGATGTAGTGTTTTGATAATAGTAATAATAAGAAGATACCATATGCTCACTACTCAAAGAAATAGAATACTGCTACTACATAATGCATACCCCTCCCCAATCTTATCTCTCCAAAGGTTTCTGTTAATCATTCCTTTGTTCTTTTTTTCTGAAATTTTCTTATAGGTTAAGGGGGTGCCTGTGCAGGTTTGTTACAGAGGTATATTGCATGATACTGAGATTTTGAGTATGAATGAATTGTCTCCCAGGTTGAGAGCATAGTACCCAATAGGTTGTTTTTCAGCCCCTGCCCCTGTCCACTTGGATTCCCAGTGTCCATTGTTCTCATCTTTATGTCCATATGTACATGATGTTTAGCTCCCACTTATGAGTGAGAACATGGGCTATTTGGTTTTCTGTTTCTGGCTTAGTTTCCTTAGGATAATGGTCTCCAGCTGTATCCATGTTGCTGCAAAGGACAAAGGACTCGATTTTGTTCTTTTTTATGGTTGCATAGCATTTCAGTGTGTGTGTGGGTATGTGTGTATACATGTATATGTGTGTGTGTATGTATTATATACGCACATATATACATATATATTACATATACATATATATGTACATATACATATACACACACACATATATATACACACACACATACACACACACACACACATATATACTGCATTTTCTTTATCAGTCCAGAGTTGATGGGTGGGCACCTGGGTTGATTCCATGTCTTTGCTATCACTACAATGATCTTTGTTCTTTTTCCGAAAGTGCTTCTCTCTTTATATGTAGGTATATATTTATACTTGCTAAACTTTAATGTATATATACTTGCTAAACTGTATATAAAAGTATGTATTAATGTATATTTAATATATACTTAATGTTTATATTATATATACATTAGAGTTTAACAAGTATAAGTCTAGCTGTGAATGAAATTAGCAATAGTGTCACTATTATTATTAGGATGGTTCAAAAGTAATTACGATCTTTGCCATTATTTTCAATGGCCAAAACCACAATTACTTTTGCACCAACCTGATACATTAAGGTTTCCAGAAAAAGAAAAGCTAAATGAGGTTAGGGAATCTCCGAGGTCTGTCTGTGACCGGGATTCCCTCTGTCGCTTTGGGACTGGCGATACTATATTCTTGCTTATCTGCACCACTTCTTTCCCTTGGTGTGAAGCTCTTTGGGGAATTTTTAGATAGTATTTGTTTTATTCATTTGGCAGTAGTAGTTTCTAGACATATCTTAAAGTTTGGGCTTCTCTGGGCCTCATTTGTAAAGGGGATGATGATAATAGCATCTACACCATGGAGTGGTATGAAGGTGAAATAAGACTTAATGAGCTTCGATATTCCACACCCTCGATCAGAGATCACGGGCCTAGTCATTGAAAAGTAGCTCAGAGCCTCCCAAGGGCCCCCCAGAATCTGCCTCTGTCACCCAGGGGCAGGAGGAAATGGTACCCTGGGATGGAGTGGGTTCTTGTTTCTTCTTTCCTGGCTTTCTTTCTTATTTTTCTTCTGACATGAGGGACCCTTTGCCTTGGGTCAAAGGGGTCACTGAAACCTGTAATGACCCTTTTGAGGATTCGGATAAAGTTGGGAGAACTGGGAGGCAGTGGGGTCTGAAAGCATTTTAGGGCAGTCTGAGGTATTCCAGAATCATCTCTGAGCCTAACAGTAGACAGGATTAGACGCAGCAGGCAAAGCCGAGGGCCCAGTTTTGGCTAATGAAAGAGTCATGCCAGCTGCTTCTTGAGAAGGCCCTCTCAAAGCTGTGGCCTTTCGTTTCTTCTGTCTCTTCTCCTTTTCCTCAAGTGTGAAATCCATCTCTAGATGATAATGCCTATTTATAAAAGCCATCTCTGAAAACACAGTTAATTGTATAGGACTCACATGACTCAGAAGAACATTCAAAATAATGTTTTAAGTATTATTGCCCAAAAAAGGGGGGATGTATCTTGAAATTTTGATCATCTTGGTATCAGAACAAAAGGGGCATAAGCCTATTAGCCCTGAGCTTTATGGTTGCAAGGAGCTGGGGCTGGAATGACCAGGGCACCTTAATCACCTAAATCACTCCTCACCCTCAAGAGGAGGAGGCCTGAGGGTTTCTCTTCACATGTAGGTGCTGAGGCTGAGGGAGGACTCTCGTTTTCCCTTGGAGAGGGCATTGGGCAGGATAGAAGCCCCCGACCTGGTTCAGGTCTGTGCCTGAGGCAGAGCTAGTGCCAGTAGTATGCATGGGTTCATTCATATGATCCTTGCACCCTGAAAGTAAAACACCTTTTCCAATGCAGACAGTGGGGGCATGCAGAGATGAACCACTAAACCCAAGTTAGCTTGACAGATGCAACATCTGAAACCAGGCAGCTGATTCCAAGCCATGCTCTGAGCCAGCTTTGTAGGGAGAATCATATATGAGGGCTCAAAAGGCACTGTGCTCAGGCCTGGGCCCTGGGGAGATGCCCACCCTGGCTGAGCTCCCTGGGGGTGGGAGATGGGGGCGGTGGGATGAGGCTAGGGGGTGGGTGGCACCAAGGATGCCAGCTGGCCCTGGCACTGATTCTGGCTCTGACCGTGGCCTGCTTGCTGTTCTTACAGGGATGGAGGCAATGGCAGCCAGCACTTCCCTGCCTGACCCTGGAGACTTCGACCGGAATGTGCCCCGGATCTGTGGGGTGTGTGGAGATCGAGCCACAGGCTTTCACTTCAATGCTATGACCTGTGAAGGCTGCAAAGGCTTCTTCAGGTGAGGCTTCTTCCCAGGCTCTCCCCAAGGGAAAGGGAGGGAGAAGAAGCAAGGTGTTTCCATGAAGGGAGCCCTTGAATTTTTCACGTCTCCTTCCTTGTAATGTCCATGGAACATGCGGCGCTCACAGTCATAGGAGCAGGAAGGTCTTGGTGAGTGCTTTCTTCTTTTCCCTCCTCTCAGCTCCAGATGTGTCCCCTGACTCACTTGGAAATTGCTTTCCTGAGGTTGCTGTGTGGGTCTCTGTCTTTCCATTACACCTGTGACCCACAGCCCCCTGCACCAACCCATGTGTCCGTCCTTCCAGAGTGAACCTCCTCCCAGTTGATGATCATAGCTTCCTCACTCAAGACACAGGCATGTCTTTGGCAAGAACATGGCTTCAGAGTTTGCCTTTCCATCCAATCCAAACTGTTCCTTGGAACATGGGAAATGGCACCTCTTGTCGGGTCATCATGATCTGTACCCGTGTCTTCACCCAAGGATTGTTTGTCCTGGTCTGAAAGTCAACCTTGGAACACCCAGGCAGTGTCAGGAATATACCTGCATTCCTGTATCAGGGCCAGTTTCTTTACCAACACACTCCCCTTACATGAGCCCAGGATTACAGGTGTGATAGGTGTGGGAAAAGCACTGGAGGTTCCCATCCAAACCCAGGGTGGGAGGGTGGGAAAGGGGTGAATTGGGGCAGGAACTGGGAATCATGAGAAATTAGCCTTTGGCATGTATTGGAGAGACAGAGACAGTAGCCTGAAAGAAGGCAGCCAAAACAGAGCTTCTGTCTAGCAGTCTAGACTGGAGGTGACTATGGCAGGGCTCTAACCATCAAATGAGGAAAGCACAAATCAAGTCCAGAGGAGGATGCTGAGGTCGGCTTGGTTGTCTAAACTGGAGCGCTCTCCTCGCCTTGGGAGCACAGTGAATTCAAGTCCAGGTGCTTGTGTGGGACTCTTACTCAAGGACTTGGGGGCTCTCTGTCAACACAAGCTCCCAATTCACCTGCCCTCTGCCCCAGGAATCAGTAGGCCCAGAGTTTGATGGCCTTGAGCAATTGCTGGGCAGCGGGATTTCTGTGGGTGCTAATTGCCTGTTTGGCCTGGCACTGACTGCCCGCTTGGCTTCCTGGCAACCTACTCCCCAGCTCGGGGAACCAGACAAGCAGCATCGCTGGCTCTAAGTCCTGTTGCTGCATTTGCCAATCCTCGGGCCAGAGGTCCACACATCCTGCAGGGTGGGCCTTCTAGAGCCCTGGTTGTGTGTCCCAGGTGACACATGAACCCTTTTCTGCCAGGTCCTGGGACTTGGGGGGCTGCCTTGAGTGCTAAGGAAGGGGGAATCTAATGCACACCTCAGAGCCTGCTTACTACCATGAAACCCATCAGAAAGGCGTGGTCTGGGGTGCTGGCCATGGCAATAATTTATGGGATATCCTTGCTCAAATGGATGTCCTTGACATCTCTAGGCTTTAATTAACTCAACTAATGTCATGCATGTATTGATATCCAGCCCCTCTGCCACATAGTGTTAATCTGAGGATTAATGAGATGACATGTAAAAAAGTGCTTTGAAAAACACTTTTTCAGTCTGATGAAAAAAGCTGAGATTTTTTAGCCTGATGGGCCACTACTACTGCCCTTCATGGAACCATGCTCTCATAAAATAAACAAAAGTCGCGCAGCCAGCCAGCAAGCCAGTCACTTTCCTCGTGTGTGAGTGTGTGTGTGTGTGTGTTTAATTTTTTTATAGTGATGGGGCCTCCCTATGTTGCCCAGGCTGGTCTCAAACTCCTGGGCCCAAACGATCCTTCCATCTTGGCCTCCCAAAGTTCTACAATTAATGGCATGAGCCACCATGTCTGGCCTTGTGTTTCTTTCACTCATTCCCTCACCAGACTTGAATCAGCATTTATGATCTGGCATTGGGCTAGGAGCTGTCAATATGGAGTTTCTCACCGAAAGTCATATCTTGTCAATCTGCAACCAAAACATTTGGTTACGGAGTCTCTACCCTCAAATCCACTCTCTCCTCGTAGGCCTCCTTCCCCCTGAGATCCAGTTCTGGGAAATGAGAATCTTAGATGGCAGCTGGTTGAGTGGTGACATATTGAACGCCAGTTCCTCACTGGAGTGGCTCTGACTGCTATGCATCTGTAGTTGCTGCCCTTGGACACACCACTAGGCTGGGAATCCTCAGGACAGGAATGTGTGAGGCATCTGGGTGGAGG